TCTCACATTGGCCAAAAAAACATCTGGATTATCCCCAAGTTAATTTGGGGCAAATATTCTGTGAACTGATGAGACAAAAATAGAACTTTTTGAAAGGTGTGCGTCCCGTTACATCTAGTGTAATACTAACACAGCATTTCATAAAAAGAACATCATCCCAACAGTGAGACATGGTGGTGGTAGTGTCTGGGTTCAGGATTTGGACGACTTGCCATAATTGATGGAACCATAAATTCTGCACTCTACCAGAAAATCCTGAAAGAGAATGTCCGCCCATCAGTTCCTGACCTCAAGCTGAAGCACACTTGGGTTATACAGCAGGACAATGAACCAAAACACACCAGCAAATACACCTCTAAATGGCTAAAAAAAACAAAACAAAATGAAGGTTTGGGAGTGGCATAGTGTCGCCAGCACTCCAGATTCACTTTTATTCCCAAGATTGTGAGCAGGGCTAAGCAACAATGATAGGCGGGAACAAGATGTGTTTTAAAGTGGGGGAGGACTTAAAGGATAGGTCCAGTGTCTTCAGTGGTGGATAGGTGGGGTAAGATAGGTGGGAGCCAGGTGGAAACACTATTCCAGTGACATTCACAGTACACTTGGCTGAGACCTACCCACCCATCACCTGGTAAGTGGTAACTTTTCCTGGGTCTCTTGCTGGCCAGCCAAGATACTCCGCACTTGCCCAATACGGCCACTCTTGGGGGTGCAGTGGGTCTCACTTACCTCCTGAGCCGTTACCTTGGTTCTGTCTGTGCCCCCAACTCAGAGACCTCGGACCACCGCTGCCAGACTCCTGCGTGGCACAACACTCTGACCCTCCTTCCTCCTCCTCTCCAGGCAGCCCACCAGTCAGTGCAGAGCACAGTGTGTACAACTCATAGGAATGATATCACACACATAGCCTGAATGTTAACAACGCAATGACCCAGCAACTGGATCAAAATTCCAGCATTGTAGGGTCAATCCAGAAAGTTCCCAGGTATGTAGGGTAGTGGTCGCTGAAAAAATGCCCCCCCTTGTATTTGTGGTCAGTGGAGAAAAGCCCCCTTACATTAGTGGGGAGTGGAGAACATCCTCCTTACATTAGTGGGGAGTGGAGAAATGTCTCCTTACATTAGTAGGGAGTGGAGAAAAGTCTCCTTACATTAGTGGGGAGTGGAGAAAAGCCTCCTTATATTAGTAGGGAGTGGAGAAAAGCCTCCTTACATTAGTGGGGAGTGGAGAAATGCCTCCTTACATTAGTGGGGAGTGGAGAAAAGCCTCTTTACATTAGTTGGGAGTGGAGAAATGCCTCCTTATATTAATAGGGAGTGGAGAAAAGCCTCCTTACATTAGTAGGGAGTGGAGAAAAGCCTCCTTACATTAGTAGGGAGTGGAGAAAAGCCTCCTTACATTAGTAGGGAGTGGAGAAAAGCCTCTTTGCACTGGTGATCAGTGAAGAAGTGACCCTTTACACTGCATAACTGTGGGAAATTGCTCCGGTCACATGGATGGTCATTGTGGGCGGGAGACCATTTGCGTATATTATAGGCAGAAGCAGTGCTGTATTTAGGTTTTGTGAAGCCCTAGGTAACACAAATATCGGCCACCTTCCACCGACCAACATCACCCCACCCCTTGGCCCTCCACTACCACCACCCCCCATACAACCACTGCCACCCCCCTCCTTCCCCGGTGAAGGAAAGGCACTCACCTTCACAGTTCCGGACATTCCTGGGAACGAGAATCGGACTCTGCATACACCATCAAGCACCTCAAGAACCTCTCTTGAATCCCACCCGGTGCCCATGCCACATGTGTCTCTTCTTTCGGGGGGTGCCGTCCCCCCTGAAAAATGCCACCCTAGGCAAGCACCTTTTTTGCCTTGCGGTAAATACATCTCTTTCCAGAAGAGGACTATGCTGAAGGGGCAGGGAGGGATCTCCCACTGGGTCAGGGTCCTTCACCTGCAGCAGACTGATGACTTCATCTCAGCCCAGGCAAAGTCACTGACTGGAGGTCATGGAGGACTTTTCAATCATAAATGATGGCACCTTCCTGAAGAATGTTCCTGTTTCTGTATATTGTGATGTTAGTTATATTTTCATACAGTTACTGAACGATCCCTGGATGATGGAGATGTCCCAGGCGGCCTTTTACAGACAGGTGTTCAGGAGGGACTTTGGGAATGAATTGAATGGGAACAATCTATAACAATGAAAGTCCTTCTGAAGTTTATGTAACTCGATGAATGAAATGGGGAAGGCCGTCTTCATGGTTAGGAAATCCTCTAATTCAAATCTGCCAGCCAGACAAGATTTCAGTAAAAGGGAAAAAAAAAGCAGATGTTATGCAAATCTCACATATTCTCGGATGCAATCTCTGAATAATAAAAATGTTGAAACAAATGACATCAATTGTCAAATCTCATATTTCTGTCTTCGCGATGTTATATTTAGTATATAGTATGTACACCTACCCACCAGGCACAGGAAAACCCATCACCTCGGGTAAAGAAGAGTCCTGATATATACAGGAACACCAAGATATCCTGGAATTATTATCATTGTTATTATTATTCAGGATTTATATACGCCAACAGTGTGCCCAGCGCTCTACAATATACAGGGAGACAGAATGGTTACAATATTATTATTATTATACAGGATTTATATAGCGCTAAAAGGTTTGCTCAGCGCTGTATATTATAGTGGGGGACAGAACATGAGACAATACAGTAACAAAACAGAACACGAGGGATCGAGGGTCCTGCTCTTTCGAGCTTACAATCTAGGAGGGAGGGGGTAGTGGTACAGAAGGAAGTGGCTGTGGGGGATGGAGTGGTAGGAGGAGTGGAGGAGATCGGCTGTTAGGTGAGCGTCTGGGAACAGCAATCTTCAGGTCTGGCCACAGATTCTCCATTGGATTTGAGTCTGGACTGTGACAGGGCCATTCTAACACATGAAGATGCTTTGATCTGAACCATTCCATTGTAGGTCTGGCTGGATATTTTGGGTCGTTGTCCTGCTGGAAGGGGAACCTCCATCCCGGTCTCAAGTCTTCTGCAGACTATAACAGGTTTTCTTCTAAGATTGCCCTGTATTTTGCTCCATCCATCTTCCCATCAACTCTGACCAGCTTCCCTGTCCCTGCTGAAGAAAAGCATCCCCACCACATGATGCTGCCACCACCATGTTTCATGATGGGGATGGTGTGTTCAGGGGGATGTGCAGTGTTAGTTTTCCACCACATATAGTGTTTTGCTTTTAGGCCAAAAAGTCCCATTTTGGTCTCCTCTGACCAGAGCCCCTTCTTCCACATGTTTGCTGTGTCCCCCACATGGCTTCTCCCAAACTGCAAACGGGACTTCTTATGGCTTTCCTCCAACAATGGCTTTCTTCTTGTCACTCTTCCATAAAGGCCAGATTTGTGGAGTGACGACTAATAGTTGTCCTGTGGACAGATTCCCCCCCTGAGCTGTGATCTCTGCAGCTCCTCCACAGTTCCCATGGGCCTCTTGGCTGCTTCTCTGATGAATGCTCTCCTTGCCCGGCCGGTCAGGTTAGGTGGACGGCCATGTCTTGGTAGGTTGGCAGTTGTGCCGTACTCTTTCTATTTTCAGATGATGGATTGAACAGTGCTCCGTGAGATGGTCGAAGCTTGGGAAATTTTTATATGACGTAACCCTGCTTTAAACGTCTCCACAACTTTATCCCTGACCTGTCTGGTGTGTTCCTTGGCCTTCATGATGCTGTTTCTTCACTAATGTTCTCTAACAAACCTCTGAGGTCTTCACAGAACATCTGGATTTATACTGGGATCACGTGACACACAGGGGGACTCTATGTACTAATTAGGTGACTTGTGAAGGCAATTGGTTCCACTAGATTTTAGTTAGGGGTATCAGAGTAAAGGGGGCTGAATGCAAATGCCATAATCAATATTCAAATTCCTCCTGCGCTTAGATGGAACTGTGACTAAAGCTGCTAACACCTAACCATATACCAAAAAAATGGTCAACCCAAATTGTAAATTGTGGTGCTGCGCTAATAATCTATATGTGAACCCCAATACTTCATATACAATAAATAGGAGAACAATTTCCCCTCATAATCAATAATAGATAACTAAGTCCAATAAGACATAGACCCCACAACCTCCCCACCCCCTCTCCTAAGTAAGATAATCCACAAATATACACAATATTGACACACATATATTAAATGCCGTGAAAGTGAGAAATCTCCTGAACCACAGCATCAGTGAAAAAATATAGTGACATAAACGCATGGAAACTTTCCATGTCCTGGATAAACTGGTGTGAAAGAAATAATAGTGATCCCACTTGTGGTAAACGTACAAAAAAAGAAAGAGGAAGGAAAAAAGAAAGAGGAATCAAACGCATGTATGAGCTCAAAATAACCTGTGAAAGAAAACAACCAGTGATCCCAATATGGGATAAATAAAGTGAATCTGTGAAACCACAAATGTGGTAATTAAGGAAGAAAGAAAAAATCAGTCTCAATGCCTGGAAATCACTAATAATCACTATATTATTATTATTATTATACAGTATTTATAAAGTGCCAATAGTTCGCTCAGCGCTGTACATTACAAAGGGGGACAGAACATGTGACAGAACAATACCAATACAATGCAAAACATGAGGGGATTGAGGGCCCTGCTCCTTGGAGCTTACAATCTAGGAGGGAGGGGATGGGGGCACAGGAGGAGATAGCTGTGGGGGATGGAGTGGTAGGAAGAGTGGAGGAGGTCGGCAAGTTAGCAGGGGGTGGGGGTAGGCTTCCCTGAAGAGATGGGTTTTCAGGGTGCGCCTAAAGGAGAGGAGAGTAGGTGATAATCTGATGGGTTGGGGCAGGGAGTTCCAGAGGATGGGTGACACCCTGGAGAAGTCCTGGAGGCGGGCATGGGAGGAGGAGACCAGGGAACTAGAGAGAAGGAGGTCTTGTGAGGAGCGGAGTGTGCGTGTTGGGCGGGCGGGGTACTTGGATATTAGGTCAGTGATGTAGTACGGGGCAGTATAGTGGACGGCTTTGTACGTCAGTGTTAGGATTTTGAATTTGATCCGTTGTGCAATCGGAAGCCAGTGGAGGGATTGGCAGAGGGGGGTGGAGGCCAGTGGAGGGATTGGCAGAGGGGGATGGAGGACACTGAGTGGAGGCCAGTGGAGGGATTGGCAGAGGGGGGTGGCGGAGATGGAGCGGTTGGAAAGGTGAATGAGTCTGGCCGCCGTATTCAGAATCGACTGAAGCGGGTATAGCCAGCGGCGAGGCAGGCCAGTGAGGAGGGAGTTGCAGTAGTCGAGTCGTGATATGATGAGGGAGTGGATGAGCTGTTTAGTGGTTCTGGGGTTAGGAACGTGCAGATTTTGGCGATGTTGCGGAGGCAGAGTCTGCATGTTGTGGAGGTGGAGTCTGCATGTTGCGGAGGTGGAGTCTGCATGTTGCGGAGGTGGAGTCTGCACGAGTTTGTTAGTGATTGGACTTGGGGCTGGAAGGATAGGTTGGAGTCCAGAATGACACCAAGAACTCTGGCCTGCGGGGCGAGTTTGATGGTGGCGTTGTTGGATGTGATGGAGAAGTCAATGGGGGTGGTGTCCAGGCTGGGGGGAAGACAATAAACTCGGTTTTGGAGAGGGTTAGTTTAAGGAAGTTGAGTGACATCCAGTCTGATATGTCGCTCAGTAGGTGTGTGATTCGGGCGGAGACCGAGGGGGTGAGGTGGGGGGTGGGGGGGGGGGGGGGGCTATATACACAATAGTGACCCCCTACTGGGGATCTGTGACCACCACACAAAAAAAATAGGCAAAATGCCTGTAGACGTGATACTGTAACCCCAAATGGGGGTTCTAAATAAGCATGAAAATAAGTGACTTCCAACAATACTTCACACTTTTTGTCCTTATACATGCGTTTACTCCTTGGATTCCTCTTTCTTTTTTCGTACGTTTACCACAAGGAGTGGATTCACTGATTCGCTTTGTCTTTATCCCCCAGTGGGATCACTATTATTTCTTTCACACCAGTTTATCCAGGACATGGAAAGTTTCCATGCGTTTATGTCACTATATTTTTTCACGGATGTTGTCATTCAGGAGTTTTCTCACTTTCACGGCATTTAATATATGTGTGTCAATATTGTGTATATTTGTGGATTATCTTACTTAGGAGAGGGGGTGGGGAGGTTGTGGGGTCTATGTCTTATTGGACTTAGTTATCTATTATTGATTATGAGGGGATATTGTTCTCCTATTTATTGTATATGAAGTATCGGGGTTCACATATAGATTATTGAATACAAATGCCGCCACACTTTTCACAGATTTATTGGTCACAAATGTTGGAAACCATTTCTCATTTTCCTTCCACTTCACAATTATGTGCCACTTTGTGTCGGTCCATCACATCCAATCCCAATAAATACATTGTAACATGACAACATGGGGGACATTTCAGGGGGGGGAATACATTGTAACATGACAACATGGGGGACATTTCAGGGGGGAGGGGGAATACATTGTAACATGACAACATGGGGGACATTTCAGGGGGGAGGGAATACATTGTAACATGACAACATGGGGGACATTGCAGGGGGAGGGGAATACATTGTAACATGACAACATGGGGGACATTTCAGGGGGGAGGGGGAATACATTGTAACATGACAACATGGGGGACATTTCAGGGGGGAGGGGAATACATTGTAACATGACAACATGGGGAACATTGCAGGGGGGAGGGGAATACATTGTAACATGACAACATGGGGGACATTTCAGGGGGGAGGGGAATACATTGTAACATGACAACATGGGGGACATTTCAGGGGGGAGGGGAATACATTGTAACATGACAACATGGGGAACATTGCAGGGGGGAGGGGAATACATTGTAACATGACAACATGGGGGACATTTCAGGGGGGAGGGGAATACATTGTAACATGACAACATGGGGGACATTTCAGGGGGGAGGGGAATACATTGTAACATGAGAACATGGGGGGGGGGGGGAATACATTGTAACATGACAACATGGGGGACATTTCAGGGGGGAGGGGGAATACATTGTAACTTGACAACATGGGGGGGGGGGGGGGGAATACATTGTAACATGACAACATGGGGGGGAATACATTGTAACATGACAACATGGGGGCATTTCAGGGGGGAGGGGGAATACATTGTAACATGACAACATGGGGGGACATTTCAGGTGGGAGGGGAATACATTGTAACATGACAACATGGGGGACATTTTAGGGGGAGGGGGAATACATTGTAACATGACAACATGGGGGACATTTCAGGGGGGGAGGGGAATACATTGTAACATGATAACATGGGGGGCATTTCAGGGGGAAGGAATACATTGTAACATGACAACATGGGGGACATCTCAGGGGGGGAGGGGGAATACATTGTAACATGACAACATGGGGAACATTTCAGGGGGGAGGGGAATACATTGTAACATGATAACATGGGGGGGCATTTCAGGGGGAAGGAATACATTGTAACATGACAACATGGGGGACATCTCAGGGGTGGGGGAAGACTTATTCAAAGCACTGTATAGTGACAGACAATGTCTGGGGTCATCATTCATCAAAACTATATAACAATTATTGTTAGAATATTTTTAGGGCTCAATTTAAACACATGTATCTCTCCATCTCCCGTCTGATCAATGTTTATAAACAATGTTACTTTGTATCTCTCTATCTCCCGTCTGATCGATGTTTATAAACAATGTTACTTTGTATCTCTCTATCTCCCATCTGATCGATGTTTATAAACAATGTTACTTTGTATCTCTCCATCTCCCGTCTGATCGATGTTTATAAACAATGTTACTTTGTATCTCTCTGTCTCCCGTCTGATCGATGTTTATAAACAATGTTACTTTGTATCTCTCCGTCTCCCGTCTGATCGATGTTTATAAACAATGTTACTTTGTATCTCTCTGTCTCCCGTCTGATCGATGTTTATAAACAATGTTACTTTGTATCTCTCCGTCTCCCATCTGATCGATGTTTGTAAACAATGTTACTTTGTATCTCTCTATCTCCCATCTGATCGATGTTTATAAACAATGTTACTTTGTATCTCTCTATCTCCCGTCTGATCGGTGTTTATAAACAATGTTACTTTGTATCTCTCTATCTCCTGTCTGTACGGTGTACATGGAGTAAAAGCTTTTTGCACTGCAGAATCTGCTAGAGCTGTTCTATGTACACAGCAACTTATGGCTTTGAGTAAGCCAATAATTTCCAGGCAGCTGGGGGAACTTGGTCATGGCAGCAGGGTGGAAGGGATGGATGTGCTACACCTGTCCTGTGTATTACGATGACTTTTTTGGGCATGTGTAACACATCCAGTATCCTAAACTAGTTAACTTCCAATATTCCTTTTTGACTTCCTGGGGGATTGAGATATTGCTGATGTAACCAGGGCCTCAGAGATGCATCCTAGGAAGTTCCTGTCACATGTTTCAGGAAGCTGTCCCAGAGTTCCATGACATTAAAGGAAATGGATTAATCTGCCCTTACGAAAAATGGCCACCCTGATAAAAATGGAGAGTAATAAATTATAGTTTGCAAAGAATAACAGGCTGCTATTATCTATAAACATTGCCAATACTGAACATTTCTAAAGGTGTCTTTGTTGTCATTTTTATGAGAGGGGTGAAGATCCAAATTAAAGATTTTTTTATATTGAATGTATTATTAATCTTTTTTTTCCATTTTTCTTATTTTTGTTTTACATTAATAAATAAAATGCACAAAATTCTAAAAAAAAAAAGAAGAAAGCTTTTATTTCATTTGTAAATAATCTTGCCGTCATTTCCAGTACAAATGTAATAATAGTCTCATTATTAATAAATCAAAGAAGACATTTTTCACTTCTTACTTTCAGTATCACTGATCAGTTTTAAATGTTTTCACACGAGATTCACACAATTGTCACCAAGGTTTCTCCTAACTGAATTGATTACTGCAACTCCCTCCTCACTGGTCTACCGTTACACAGGCTATCCCCCCTTCAGTCTATTATGAATGCTGCTGCTAGACTCATACACCTTACCAAAACCGATCAGCGACTGCTGCCCCTCTCTGCCAATCCCTTCACTGACCTCTGCTCAGTGTCCTCTACCCGTTTCTGCCAATCCCTCCACTGACCTCCGCTCAGTGTCCTCTACCCGTTTCTGCCAAGCCCTCCTCTGGCCTCCATTCAGTGTCCTCCACCCCTCTCTGCCAATCCCTCTACTGGCCTCCATTCAGTGTCCTCCACCCCTCTCTGCCAATCCCTTCACTGACCTCCGCTCAGTGTCCTCTACCCGTTTCTGCCAATCCCTCCACTGGCCTCCATTCAGTGTCCTCCACCCCTCTCTGCCAATCCCTCCACTGGCTTCCACTCAATGTCCTCCACCCCTCTCTGCCAATCTCTCCACTGGCTTCCACTCAGTGTACTCCACCCCTCTCTTCCAATCCCTTCACTGACCTCTGCTCAGTGTCCTCTACCCCGTTTCTGCCAATTCCTCCACTGGCCTCCATTCAGTGTCCTCCACCCCTCTCTGCTCTGCCAAATCCCCCCCACTGGCTTCCACTCAGTGTCCTCCTCCGACCCCTCTATCTGTCCTTCCTCTCTCTGCCAATCCCTCCACTGGCTTCCACTCAGTGTCCTCCACCCTCTCTGCCAATCCCTTCACTGACCTCCACTCAGTGTCCTCCACCCCCCTCTGCCAATCCCTCCACTGGCTTCCACTCAGTGTCCTCCACCCCCTCTGCCAAAATCCCTCCACTGGCTTCCACTCAGTGTCCTCCACCCCCTCTCTGCCAATCCTTCACTGACCTCCACTCAGTGTCCTCCACCCCTCTCTGCCAATCCCTCCACTGGCTTCCACTTACCTAACATATAAAATTCAAAATACTAACCACAGCTTACAAAGCCATCCACAACACTGCCCCTAGCTACATCGCCAACCACAGATATCGCTCAAATCGCCCCGCTTCGCTCCTCCCATGATATCCTCCTCTCTAGCTCCCTCATCACCTCCCCCACGCTCGCCTCGAGGACTTCGCTAAAGCCTCTCCCATCCTCTGGAACTCCCTACCACAGTATGTCCGGTCAGCTCTCACCCTGTATGCCTTTAGGCGATCTTTGAAAACTCACTAATTCAGGGAAGCCTACCCCACCTCCACCTAAGAACTGTGCTTGAGCCACCTCCATCAGATCATCCCTCCACAGCTATTAACTTTTGTATCCCCTCCCCCTTAATTTAGATTGTAAGCTCCATGAGCCAGCCCTCCTATTCCTTCTGTACTGAAATGTATTGTCTCCCTTATATTGTAAAGCGCTGGGCAAACTGTTGGCGCCATAAATCCTGTATAATAATAATAATAATAATAAATCTAATTAGAAAATGTGTGAATTATTCATGTTTTAAAAATTAGAAGTATTACTGGAAAACTAGGCAGAAAATGCTTTACTACG